TGTGTGTGTGCTGTGTGTGTGCTGGTGTGCAGTGTGTGTTGTGGTGTGTGTGTGCGCGCGCGTGTGTGCGCGTGGTGCGCGCGTGGTGTGTGCTGTGTGTGCTGTGTGTGCGTGTGTGTGTGTGTGTGTGTGCGTGCTGTGTGCGCGCGCGCGTGCTGTGGTGTTGTGTGTGGCATGTATGTGTCGTGTGTGTGTGTGCGTGGTGTGTGGTGTGTGTGGTGTGTGTGTGTGTGTGTTGTGTGTGTGTGTGTGTGTGTGTGTGGTGTGTGTGTGGGCGCGCGTGTATAGTGTGTGTGTTGCATGCTTGAGTGCAGAGAGACGGCCTAGACAGAGTGAGCTGAGTTTCACATGTGCGGGCTTTACGCGATTATTTTAGGAGATATGGATCTTCGGCTAGCTCTCGGCGATGCAGTTGTTTGAGCAGTGAGTGCTGCTGACTGCTGCTCGGCTGCTGCTGCTGCTATACTGCTGCTGGGCTGCTGGCTGCTGCCTGCTGCTGCTGCTGCCTGCTGCTACATGCTGTAGCTACTCCTACTACTACTACTACACTGGCTGCTACTGCTTCTTTGTCTGCTTGCTGCTGATGCTGCTGCTGGCTGGCTGCTGCTGCTGTACTAACTAACTGACTAGCTTGCTGCCGCTCGGCTGCTGCGCTACTAACTGCTTGCTGCTGCTGCTGGCTGCTGCGCTGCTGCTGCTTGCTGGCTACTTACTACTACTGCTGCTACTGCTGCTGCTGCTGCTTATTAAAGCTTACTACTGTGCGGCTAGCTCCTGCTGCGTGGCTGCTGCTATTTACTACTACTACTGTTGCTACTGTGGCGTCTTACTACTACTAGCGTTCTACTGGCTGGCTGCTGCTACTGCTGCTACTGCTGCTGCTGCTATGCGCTACTCTGCTGGGTGCTGCTCTAGTACTACTACTGCTGACTTGCTGCTGCTGCTGCTGCTATTACTGACTACTACTGCTGCTAAACTGCTGCTTGCTGCTACTGCGCTATACTGCTGCTCCTGCCTGCTGCTACTACTATACTGGCTTGCTACTGTGGTGGCTGGCTGCTGCTATTACTACTACTAACTACGTTGCTGGCTGCTGCTGTACTGGTGATTGCTGGACTGCTGCTGCAGCTGCTGCTGCTAGACTGCTAGACTGCTGCTACTGCTGCGCTGCTGCTGCTGCCTGCTGCTACTGCTTGCTGCTGCTGCTAACTGTGCTGCTGCGCTGCTGCTACTCTGCTGCTGCTGCTGCTGCTTACTCTACTGGCTGCTACTACTACGACTGCTAGCTGCTGGTGGCTGCTACGTGCTATCTGCTCTGGGCTGCGCTACTGCTATTACTGCGCTCTGCTGCTGCTGACTGCTGCTGCTGCTAACTGCGCTGCTGCTACTACTATAACTGCTGCTACTTGCTAGCTGTGCTGCTGCTGATTACTACTATGGCGCTACTGGCTGCTGCTGCTACTAGGACTACTGGCTGCACTATTGCTGCTGCTGCTGCTGCTGCGCTCTAACTGCTTGCTGCTGGGATGCTGGGCTGCTACGTGCACTGCTGCTACTGCTGCGCTGCTGGAAACTGCTGCTGCTGCTACTACACTACTGCTGCTACTGCTGCGCGCTGCTTATTCTAGAACTAGAACTCACTGCTGCTAACTGCTGTATGCTGCTGACTGCTGCTGCTTACTGGCTACTGCTGCTGACCTGCTGCTAACTGCTGCTGGTGCTGCTCACTTGCTACTGCTCTGTTGCGCTACTGCGTGATGGCTAGTGGTGGTGATATGATGCTGATTGAAGACGATGGTGGTGGTGGTGATGGCTGGATGATGTTGTTGTGGATGTTGTTGTTTGATGATGCTGTATTTAATTATTTTATTATTATTTTTCCCCACTTTCAAAGCTGGATCACGGCATTAGCACGATCGGCTTTCTGTTGAGCCGTCGGTGCCAACCTGGAACGCTGAGGGATTCGAATGCCATGAATTGCTCTGCTGTTACCCGAGTAGTGCGATTTCCCTGGCACTTCTTGGCCCGTGTGGTGGCCAGGGAGTTCCTTAAGGTCTTCCTACAAACACAATCTTTAAGAGCCAAGGGCTCCAGACCACCACTGGTAAATTCTCGTCTTGAGTATTCCACATCCTCACTAATTTTGATCTCCAAGATCTTTGTACTTGTGAATTTGGTTCTCTTTTCGTTCACGCAATGATGTTAGAAATCATCTGGTACGTACGGCACGTCAATAAACAGGCAGTCGGTTTTTCTTTCTGATTGTGGAGCACGTATATCAGGGCGGTTTGCAGGTATCGTGCGATTTCTTGTCTGCCCGCCTATCCCCATTATAGATATCTGCGATGTTGGTGAACTTGGTATCCGGAGTATATTATTCTTATTATTATTATTATTTAAAAGTGGATCACGGCAATTAGCCGGGTTGGCTTCTGGGTTGGACCCGTGTCCCAGACCTGGGACATAGGGATTCCAATTCCATGAAATTTTTCGGCAGGAT